AAGCTGGTCTCAGGTCCACATTCTTATTGACCGGTTTTAACCGCTCGCTCGCTGCGCCTCTAAGTTTCATCTCCTCATCGGCAGCGTGTCTCATTTCCAACAATGCATTATCTGGCATGCTAAGAAAGGACCTGCGCAAGTTTTCCCAGGGCGATACTCTCGGTTCATGGGCGAACATTCCCATAGAATCCTGGAACAAAAGATGTGGCTCGCTTCGATACTGAGGCTGTATGTTATCGCGGTCAGTTTGTGTGCCTGTGGACATCAGTGATTTGCACGACTCGTACCGAGTTCCATACCGCTGTGTTTGTACTGGTGTAGTGGAAACGCAATCAAAATAAACTGAATCGCTTTCTAAGGAAACAGTCGATCCTTTTATGTCAGTCGAACCAGCTTTCCCAGTGCTATCCTCGCTTTTTTGACTACTAGCAGACGACCCTCCTTTCTTTTTGTTTACAACCCGAACAACAAGTCGAACAAGTCTAATGGCAATGTGCAATATACTTCCGGACTTCTTTCGAGTTTCCTCAATTCCTTTACGTGCCTGCTGATCTGCACCTTGTATAGCCGAGCCAGCCATATTAGTGGTATTCTGGACCATTCCAGACGCCATTTCAGCGGGGCTCTTCTTCAGAAGCTCCGAAACTTGGGTATCTTCGCCGAGGAGCGTTGCACTCCTAAAGTTATCTTTTAAGTTAAAGCTTGTTTCTGGTAATGAAGTCCCTTCAAAACCGCTCGTAATCTTCGATGCACCTTGTTCAACACCTTTCGCTATCTGCCTGGAGCTCCATCTAAGATGCCGTTCAGCGGAAATAACATTCGTTTTTGCTGTATTCTGCCAATCAATTTCCGCAAATCTTTTTCCATGTTCTAAGGGATTTAAGTCAACAACCACCGAGTCGTTTAACCCACATGTGTTTGAAGCATGCGGATTGTGGTTAACTGATGTAAAATCTAAAGCACCTGTTTTTGCGGGCGCCTTCCCGGACTGCCATTCACCTTGTTGTAAATTTCTCTGCGGCATCTCCGGCCCGACTCCCGCCTCCTGTCCTTGAACATCTCTGGAGCTTCCTTCACCTCCAGTTTGTGCGTCGGTGGTTGGCACATCTTCCTCCTGGCCTTCACCTCTTTTCTTCTTGAGCTTTGCTAAAATCCCAGCTGCAAGAACAGCAACCGCAATTACCTTGCGTGCAATATTTTGATTGCCATCAGTAGGGGTGTTAACAGTGTTTGGGTCCTCTTGTCCATTCTCATTTCCATTCTCGCTGCTCACTATTCCTTGGATATCTCCAACTGAAGCTCCCATCGGAAGACTAACACTACTTCCTACCACATCTCCCAAAGCCTTACCTAGATCCCCATTATCGCCGCCACCTTCATTTTCTATTTCCTCCAACCCTTCCGCCACGTCTTCGACCGCCTCCATTACATCCTCAATAGCGTCAAACGCCTCTGCCAGGCCTTCAGGCGCTTCAGGCGAGTCTCGCTTTCCTTTTCTCTTTTTCGCACCAAAGAGAAACACGCCAGTTGTCACAATAAAGGAAAACGTAGGAAAAAACGCCATTTTCCAACCCTCGAAACCAAAAAGTCCCAAGACGTCTTTTATCAGCCCCATCGCGGAGTCAACAACAGCCAGTAAAGTAACAATTTCAAACATAAATTTGTCGATGTAGTCCGCAAAATCCTCCATAATTTGCAGCAGTTCCTCAGTGGCTGATGGCATATTTTCCGGATTTTCTTCAGGTGGTATGTCTATTAAACTATCCATTTTGAATCGGTGTGGATTTTTATCTATCGTTTCCAAAACGTTTGATCATTAATGCCTCTAGGTCTAAATTTTAACGTGCAAAAAAATAGCAAGTCCAATATTATTTACGTTCCCCCCTGATGTCAATAATACTTTAAAATCATTGACACCTGTTACAATTGAAACTTATAAATCATAATTAATTCATCGAGGCTTAAAAATATGAATACAAAAATTAAGTAATTGGCGGGTTGTAAGCAGAATCAGACAAACATGGTTACAACATGCTAAATGCTCAGTAATTATCAGAAAAAAATGGCTACAACATGCTAAATGCTTAGTTATTATTATTCAATTAAGTAAGGCTCAGAAATCTATTTAAGTTGCGTCTTAACTTAATTAGTTTACTCCTAGGTACACGCTTAGGGCAGTTCGTTCCTTAACGAAATTATTTGAATTTTCTCATCTGTGTAGTTGGTAATCCATTTAATTACACTGTTTACTATTACAATTCGAGTTTCAAGGTTCTATTCCACATTTAATTAAGTAGCTTATCAGTGCGTAATTTCCAGGATTAGGTGAGAGATAGTCTATAAGTTGAAGTCAGTGCTTAAATAAACTAGCGTTTAAGTGGCGGGGGAACTTGAAAAATGAAAAACTGTTATATTTGTTAAACACGAAGTACAGAAAGATTTAAATAATACTGATTTCAATGGTTGACAGTCCGGGAGTGAAAAGATATTTCAACAAGGTAACATATGACTTAAAGTACTTTAAAAAATAAAACAAAGAAAAAATAATTCTGCTTTTAGTACAGATTTTTCATCTTGGTTAATTATAATGGAAGAAACATGCAAACTCACTATGACCAAAATTCTGTTAAACATTGTGATGTGTTTAAAATGAAACATAAGCACGTTATAAATTTCCTTTCCTTTTTCGCATTTGGAATTTTCTTTTCAGTAAAAAAGTCATCTTGTTTTACGACAGAATACTAGATTTAACCAGTACTGACATTTTCATTAACTTTACTACAAAAAACTACAACAACAACCTGTTTCCTACCCAGTCCAGGCAGGAATGAGTAAGATATTATCCAGGAGAGAGAGTGACATTTTACGACTCAAAAATCTTTTAATTTTCACTTAATCATTATGCTTAGCAGTATTGCTTAAATCAATTGACTGAGAGAGGGTGAGCGAAACAACAGACAAAAAGCAATAACATTAGTAACTAACTAGAGCTCATCTCGAGGGCCAAATTTAGTACACTTTTGAATTTAAAATGAAATAGGCATATTATTTGTTTCTCTAAGAAGCATTCTGGACCTCTAAGAACACCTAGTTATTACGGAAAGTTTTCTTTGTCCCTGCCGAATGCCTTTACATTTTCTCTAAATCAACCCACTTATTATGAACTTCCTTTAATGCAGACAATGTTGTTTCTTGTCCAATACACAGATTCTCATAGAAAGTCAACCTCGCTAATGCAGACACTTCAATTGTGTGCTGTGAAGGTATCAAAAAAATTTAGTCAAAGCATGTTGATGTTCCCAGCCCTACAGTACACCGGATAGGATGATTTGCTGACGTGAATTTCAGACTATTTTTCTGGTATTAAACAAGTTCGACAGAAAGCTGTCTTGATTAAGTTTCATAGAGATGAGCGATTTTTGAGCGTTTCTGTGAAATTAGTCCAGGGAATGTTGGCTTTGTTATGGTTAGAGATTTTTAATTTGAGGATGCTTATGTTCTCAGTCTTCAACTTCTTTAGTATTATTTTGTTCCCATAAAAGGAATTTTTTTTTTACTTTAAAAGCTCATGACATGCTTAATATGGAAACCCTGTTAATACAGTGAGTTTCTTCTTCCTTGTCATCTAGGTATTGCCCCCTGAGAAACCAAGTGACATTGCTTTTATCCCATTAGTCCTAAGGCATGTGCAAAGTTGGTGAGTATCTAGCCTGCATTGCAAGCGTTTCCGCGCGAGTTCGTCGAGAAAGTTGGGACGAGAGCAAAAAAAAAAGGGAATGAGGGGGGAGGGGGAAGGGAGCAAAGGAAACGCTTGCCTGCAAACCCCACGATTTTGAAAAACTGCGTTCGCCCACGAACGCAGCTTTTGATTGGTGTGGTACTGGTACTAAGCACTCGAAACATCAATCAAACCAGGTATGTTTTGTTTACGTCTGTCACACACCTGGTCTGATCTGATTTGTGGTCGCAGATTACAAATGCTTTGGCCTGATATTTATTTGAATCATGTTTGTGCGAAGTCTCTTCGATCAAAAGTATAATATTGGAGATCGAGCAGTGGAGACTAGTGAAGGCCAATTTATTGGGAATGACAGGGTGCGTATCTGACTGGAAAAAATGGACTGTCTGTTGGAGATAACATCAACGTAAATCAGAACATCAAGTACTAGACACTAGCTAGAGCCGCCATGGACAAATTAGTGTTTGGAAATTGAGCGGCATGTATTGTAGTGAACTTTTCGACACTGGCTGGCCTATGGAGAGCAGCTGCTCTGCAAAACTCATAGCCAGCGGAGTGAATTATTTCGGACAAATCATTTCTTCACGACGTTTTGAGAGGGTTTCAGATGAGACAAAGCCACATAACGTTAAAATAACTTTCACGCTATAACTCGACTGGAAACGCTTGCTACGCAGGCTAGTGAGTATCATGAATAAGGTTCCTGTCACAAGACATTACACAAAGTGTCCCTGAGTGTGTATGATAGTGCTTTTTTTTCTGGCTACCAATGTTTTGTTACTAGCAGCCATTTCTAATTTTACAACACCAAAACGTGATGTTGAAAATAGTTGAGCTTGGACCATTGATTCATATTCCACTTTACTATTGGACTAGGAATAGTCCCTCATTTTCCCTCAGGGATAGTAGAGCGAGCAATATGCAAGCACGCATGAAAATCACCCCGCCACATCTTGCCTTTCTTGAGTGGGATGATTTTCACACATGCTCATGTTTTGCTCGCTCTGCTATCCCTGAGGGAAATTTAAGGGCTACTTGTAGTCTACTTAGGATGCAGATTGCATCCTGGATACAAAGGAGATGTGCGTTCCTCTTACACTCAGAAACAAAACTAGCCTTCAAAAATACACCAAGATGGACTATCATTGGGCTTGCTGAGTTTGTTTCTGGGTATTCAAATACCAAATCACAAAATTAAACAGTAGCAATGGCAATTCTGGAAGAGCAAGTGTCTGAAATTTCTCACATTTCTAAAAATGTGCTATTTTCTCAATGTCGCTGCAGTTTGGTCTACATGCAATCCAGTGACACTAAAGAAAGCTTCATCAAAGATCTTGCAATGCCGCAAGTTCAGAAGATAAACATCCTTGGAATCATACAGTTCTAACCTGTGAAAAGTGTTCTTCACGTCAATTCCTGAGTCGCAGAGTGGAACCAGGCTGGAGAGGGGAAGAATTCTATTGCGTCGATTCCCCCAAAAAGTCAAGCTGGAAATGATCACTGATTGTGAATTTTCATGGAATGAAATCTCTCCAACAACTCGACGGAAGAAAAAACTTAGAGCAACTAACCCAGCGGTTGTGCCTGCAGCTCCTGCAATAGCACAAACAAGAGTTGGAAAAGATATAATCCCGCTGGAATACCAGTAGCTCATTGGCCACGTGAGAGCAGAAACAACAGTTACGTGTAAGATCTTAACTCTTGATATAAAGCGTAAGTGTTTGATCCATTTAAAGCGATAAAGTAGAAGACTGTCTTCTGGCGAGGGAGTCAATGTTGATAAAGATTTCCTGGATGTTTCTTCAACAGTTCGAGCATGGTGGCGTCCACAACCGAAGTTCGATGATAACAAAATTAAAATGCTTCTAGATGGTACATGCAGCTTTCGTCCACATAAACAGTTAAAATAGGAGTTTGAAGAACCGTCGAAAGTCTTAAACTGCAAGGAGCGTCTCAAAAGAAGACAATTTGTTGCAATTCTTGAGGTTCGAAACATTTCAAAAAACAATCACGACTGTTTCACGACTTGGGATTTGTGCTGGAGCCCGCAGTACAGCTGACAGAGAACATGCCGCCTATACTCTTCATGTATCCCGCAATATTGTGTCTTGGGCTATGAAGGCCAAAAGGCCTATAGAAAAGCAAAGAAAAGTGATGGCAAAGCTAATTCCATTAATTTATTAAACAATGGCTTTGCATAAAGATGGAACTTGATTCTTCTTCCAGTCTTTTGGCATTTCTTTGGACCCATTCGATGCTGTGGCCCTACCACAACTTCGGGTCGAATTTGTGCTTGGAGGTTTATAAGTTTCGGTACTAGGGTTGGGGAGTAGTTCATGCCTCCTTGACTTACGCCTTTGTCTTTTTATTTGCACTTCGGGTCGTAATCATAGGCTGGCTTGTGATATCCCTTGAAAGAAGACATCAAATCGAGAGTTATCACGAACCTGCTTTCTTCTCTACTTTTAAGACTGTTTTTGATTTTTTATTTCATTTGGCCTCGTAACGAACTCAATCTAGCCTCAAATCTTCGTTTCGTTTGCATATTTCTAAAATGACAAAGATATGCTGTCAGGAGCTCTGCTGAGGAGCTCTTTATGATGTTTGATTTAGGACCCAGCGGGGCACTATCTAAGGTGGCCTACTCTGGGGACGGAACAGCGAATGGCCTCTATCTCCTCAATATAATCCTGCGTTTGTCCTTTGTCCTAAACGGGGTCATTTTGTTAGAGCGATTTTCGTATGACCCTGAATAGAAAACGCGCAAACAAAACAAAAACAACAAACGAACGGAAAGGGAGCAATTTGATTGGTTGATGGGACGGATACAAACGCACGTAGCTTTTGGTTGGTTAAGCGAACGCTCGGGTGAAAAAACTTTATGCCCGAGAACTTTATAGAAATCAACTTTGACGACATACTGCAACACGATTAGTCAATCGAACAATGCCTTCTCCATATTTGGGTTTTCTTTGGCGGGAAAACGAAGAGTCCATGTTTTGACCTTTTCTTCCAATGGCTGAAGAAACATTTTTCACGGTCATACGAGAATCGCTCTAAGAAACATCATATCGAAGCTTGTATCTTGACCTTTGTCAGCCAGGGAACGCTTTTTTTCAGAGCAGTTCCTGAGGGTGAGAAGTTCACCCTACCGAGCCCCAAAAGCTAAACCTGCGAAGCATCCCGTCTCTTCCTCCAGGATAATGCGGGATCTTTGGAACAAACAAACATTTAGGAAGGGATTTCCCGATCTATTTCAGTTGTATTAACACATTACACCTTTAAGCCCCAATAGTGATTGCTCCGAATTTAATTTGTCCCTTCAAGGTCAAGAGAATTAAGCCGATATGATCACTCAGGATTAATTCTCATGATATTTTAACAAATTCTCCTAACTTCTTCTGTAGGAAATGCATGGGAAAAGAAGGGAGAATTTATATTTCAACTTTGAGGATTCAAGTGTTGGGGGGGGGGGGGGTGGGGGTGTTTTTCAAATAAAACCGTGGCAATGCGTCTGAGGGGGATTGAAACAGTTAAAAGAGTGTCAGTTGTCTTCGATATAATACAGCTAGATGTTGCAACTATGTTGATTAGATCCATTTAGCTTGCATGTTTTGTTTTCCAAATGCACGTCATGTAATAATCGTTGGCTTCACACTAGAAGCGAGTTTAGTTTCAAGTAAGCACTTGATTTAAGTGCACTTGGAAATCTTAAGACGCTCTGTAGAAAACATGGCTTCACACCTGTTGACAAAGTATATTACTTGAAGTAAAAGCTGTCACTTGTTGGCTTCGTACTAGAAGCGAAGTCAGTTTCAAGTAAAAACTTGATTCAAGTGCACTTGGAAATCTTAAGTCGCTCTGTAGAAAACACGGCTTCACTATTGTTGACAAAGTAAATTTCCTGAAGTACAAGCTGTCAATCTCAATGGTCACCAAGTAAAGCTGAAGCAGGTACATTTCACCCTTTCACACTCAAAGTTAGTAGGTTCCACGTATACTAGCATTATACTTGAAGCTCTAGTGTAAAGCCAACAATTATCTAGAGAACTGTTTCTTTTTCAAGTTTGGTCAGTTATTCACGTGCAAATGCACGCATAATTCATGATAAGACAAAGGGGCATATTCCCCTGGGACCTTGATAGTGAAAACAAACATACAAGCTAAAGGGGTCTATTGTAAGCGCGAAAGGCAAAAGATGATCACACTTCTTTCAATAACCACTACAAACTTAACCGAGAAGTTTCACTTTCCTTCAAGAAATATATTTTATTCTATTTCCTAACAAATTTTACGCTGGATATCTATTGTAAAATATGACCGAGGAAAATAGCTCTATTACAACACCTAAATATTTTAAATTTGTGGTACAACAGTAAGCTTCTTGATAAATAATTATTAGTTTCTTACAACATTGCAATTGGTTTGGAATAAATTCGAATACATTTTTAATTACTATAACTAACTCTATTTTTATCGTATAAAATGCATTTTCGCACTATAAAAATACTTGTTTTTTGTCCAACGTGATTTTCTTGCAAACTTACTCGAATGTGGAAAAGTGGATTCGTCTGTGAGCCTACCGTCACACTCCCAAAGATGGGTAATCTGTGCCAGGCTCTTAGATACGTATAGGGACGTCGTGAAAATAAGACGCACGTGATCTCAAGAAACGGGGTGGCCTCGCTTCCTGTTTCCCCAGCCCCCGAGAGTTTTTTGCATCAGTTTTCCAAACTTTTTGCACACTACTATCTTGGAGCCTGGAACAGGCTAACAGATGGGAAGAAATAGAGGCCAATACGACGCTGACTAGAGAGAAACAACATACTGCTCCCTACCAGGCTCCCTAAAGGCTTAAATATAAAACGGACTTCCGTTGAGGAACTAAAATCCAAACCACATCCTGTTCGCTCTCGATTTACAATTAATACCAGTAGCCGACCGCCAGATATCCACACAAAAACACATCAGGCGGAACTTCAGAATCCACCTGTTCCGTTCAATGTTAACCTTTTAAGCACTAAGAGTGATAATATCAAATTTCTCCTTGTCATATCCACAACGCGTGATACAACAGACTAGTGGTGACAACTGAGGACACAATAGGCCAGTTGCACTAAGAGGTCACGTGACCTATGCTTTCTTTAAACGATGAGTTGGAATCTTGCTGATGCCAAAAATTGACTGAGCACATAAAAATTATCTTACACCCGAAATTTGAGGGGAAATGCCTTTAAGGGAGATATTTTATGGCACTTTGATTATTCAACAAAGCAGTATGATTTGTATTGGCCGCCATGTTGGAGGGCATACTCTTGCCCTCCAACATGGGGGCCAAAACTACTTTTTGCTTCTATCTTGTTAAACGTTTGATAGTTACGCTCAGATGTCCTGTAAACGTTACCACATCATCTTTTCAACATTTTCCTTGAAGTTTAAGTGCAAAATTTGTGTTAGGAAAGAGGTAGTTCATAATTTTAAAAATCACATTTTGGTCACGTGACCAGCTACGAACTTACTCATTTTAAGAAAATGGTGTGGGTTTGAAAAACCGAATCACTATTATTTTGTTTAAGATGTGACCCACTAATCGTTTTTCGAAGGCAAAATCATATAACTTTCATTTTCATAAAAACGATGTCACATGACCTCTTAGTGCAAATGGCCTATCGACACAAGATAAATCTAACTGATACTTTAGGAACCTCTCCCAGTACTTCTAAAGGGGACGTATAGAGGCAACAAATGAGAATTTATATAGCTGGCCCCAGAATTAACAGGATTCCATTCTTTGGAACAAATAAGGCTATATTCATGTAAGCCACACTGATCGAAATAACTAATTCCATATGACACCATTGTGACAACAGCAAAAAGCACTACCCTGCCAGTAAGAAACTACACTTTCTCGATTTGACGGAATAGGTTCTTAGTTACAAAAATGGTAATTATCGCAAATTAGGCTATTTGAAAAACAGGGTCCTTATTTTTTGAAGAAAACGAAGTACCATAAAGCGCAATTAAGAAGTATTTTATGAAAGAAAAAGTGACGCACTGATCACATAGCAAACAATTGTTTTAGATTGTAGAAAATAAGAACCTGTTTCAAATTTTAGGCCTTACAGTTATACGGAGGGACATCAACCCCTTGTTTTAAAATGAATGCCATTATACTGCTACAATTCGTATCCTTGATTAAATTCCTCATAATAATTGCTGATGCGCTCTCATTTTCAATCATCACCTTTTGCTAATTTATTCTCACTCTAAGTATCCTCATATAACTCATCCTCGTCCAACTCGCTGGCAGGTGTTCGCGGTGTGTCATTCCGATTGTACATACTGTAAATATCTACTTCACTAAGATCAACTGGATTCAGTAAACTATTAGGCTGCGAGAATTGAACTTCTTTGATTGCTTCTTCTGCTTCGTCAATTTCGCCAAATTCCTCTGTTCCGAAAGCAGCTCTGACGCTGATGTGACGCCAGTGGTCCTGTTAACAAGAAAAATAAGGTCTAACACTAAAACCAATCAATACTTAGCATCTAAATGATTTCATTTACACACCTAAAATTTAGAACCATCTTGTGTAGCAAAATAAACAGTGGCACAGAAAAGGACTGCTCAGTGGTTTTCATTTGAATGGTTATAATTTATGATTTCATCCATAAGCTCAAAAGTTAGAACCACCTTGTACAGCATAATAAACAGTACCACAAAAAGGTATTGCTAAATAGCTTCCATTTGAATGGTCATACTTC